GAAGGAAGCTGGGCAAAGGCTATACCTTCCACATGATTTTTGCAACTTTTCTATACATCTAAAATTATTCCAAAATACATAGTTTATTAAAGGGGGTGGGGAGCTTCATTCAGGATGTACCTACACACATAGGAACACAAAACTGAGCTGTAGGGATGTTCTGACAACAGCAACAGAGGGGAGTATACAAGTGTCATTGCAAACATAACCCAGAGAGAAGGGAGGAAGAAGTGACTGGGAGGGGAGTTGGGGGTGGCGTGCTGGGTGGGCGTTCGGGAGGGCAGCACTCATAATGTCCTATTTTTTTTGACCTGGATTGGTGGCTGCACAGGTGTGCCCCTTTTATAATTCACTGGACTGTACTTTTCCCTACATTACCCTTCAGTAAAAAAAGAAGTTTAAATATACTTCCCTATTACTGGTAAAGGTTAGAATGAAGAGAAGCTGTGTAAATAAATGAGATGCATATGGAAGGAAGAAAAAACCTGTAAAGGGCCAGTTATAACAATAACTATATAATACGTCTGAAATACGTGCAGAGCTGGGAAGGATCTCGGAAATTATCAAATCCTGCCCTGGACAGTTCTTCATGCAGGTAGCCCTGGAGATCCCGATGCTGTGAGGCTCATGGGGCCCAGACGCCTGTATCGGAGCAAAATTCCTCAGGAGACTACGAGGCACACCCAGATCATAAACCACTGAACTATCCCAGAAGGGAACGTCACCAGTCCCGGCCCTCTACACCTGCAGTCCACAGCCCAGCTGAGGCCCCTGTGATCCTCTCATTCCACCAGAGGGAAACCGCAGTGAGGTCGAATAACCTTGAAAGGCTTATCAAAGCTTTTTCTAGCATAATGGCTTTTTAACTCCATAAACAACACTGCGTTTTCCCAACATGATTTGGATTTCATGCTTCCGCAAAAACATCAATACATTTATTACTATTTATTAAATAATGGCAGATCATTGATTCATATAATATTGAAGCCAGAAGACAACTAACCCACCTATGCTTTTTAAAGGTGAGGAAACCGATAGCAGAGACATGAATAACTTGCCACAAGTTTCTAGAACTCAATTCTTTTTCAGGGCAATAAGTTAAACTAGATTTCTTCCCCATGGTTACTCTCTGACTGGATGAACTAACACTACATAATAGCACTAGTTTATGACCTGGGTTCTTTCATGTAGAATTCAGTTCATTGTGATTTCTATAAATGTTTCTGTTAAATTATTCTTGTTGAACAATAGCATGATGGCAAGTGAAAAGAAGACAACCAACAAAACTTCACTGAATACTGAAGTCAAGGTGCTCCCTTTTTAATGTGGGGTAAATTGTGTAAATCGAAGAGGAATTTAAGAAAATTTTTTAAGAAGTAACAATTTTAGGTAGGCAATTGTAAGGAAGATAACAATCATGCAAGCCAAGGCTACGTGATTCTTCCACAGGCCCCAAGGTGAGAGATCGATGCCCTGGTTTGCCAAAAATTCTTCGCCAGTACATCTGAAATTCAACAGGAAAAGAATATGACTTCATTCTTAGCATCTGTCAAAGTTTAGTCAATATAGTCACTGTTCCTTAAAGAAGCCTATAGGTTACCAAGTCTTAAATAAATATCCCTTTATCTATAATAGGAAACAGTCATTGATACTTACAATTCTGCTAGATACCATGAAGCAACCTGCATATAACAGTTGAGTTAATCCTGAAAACAACCCAATGGGGTGGACATTATACACATTTAAAAGATGAGGAGACTAAGGTTTATGGAACTTGGCCGAGTTCACAGACTCACACTTTGAACCAAGCTGCCAGCCTCTCCAAATTCACTTGTTTT